TCAAAAATGATGAGTCCATGTCGTTTGTAGGGACATGGATGAATCTGGAGAACATCATTCTCAGCAAACTGACACAAGAACGGAAAATGAAATACCGCATATTCTCACTCATAGGTGGGTGATGAGAAATGAGAACACATGGACACAGAGAAGGGAGTACCAAACACTGGGGTCTATTGGGGGGAAGAGGGGAGGGACAGCGGGGTAGGGGGAGCTGGGGAGGGATAGCCTGGGGAGAAATGCCAAATGTGGGTGAAGGGGAGGAAGGCAGCAAAACACACTGCCATGTGTGTACCTACGCAAATGTCTTGCATGTTCTGCACATGTACCCCAAAACCTAAAATGCAATAAAAAAAAAAAAAATATATATATATATATATATATATATATATAAAAGAAATGTTCCTCTCATGGCTTCCTAGACATTCTTCCTCGTTGTGGCTCTGCCTTTATGACCGCTCCTTCTTTCTCCTTTGCTCATTCCTCCTCCTCCCAGCCTCGACATATTAAATTGGCCCAGGGTTCAGTTTTCTGACCACTGTCTATTCTCACTCCTTAGTGACCTCATCTAGTGACATGGATTCATATTCCTTTTGATGCCAGTGATTTCCAAATGGGTATCTCTCTGCAACCTGCCCATAAAACAGGAGCTTATGCCCATGTGCATGGAGGCACTCAGATAACCAACTCCAGAGCTAAGTTTCTGCCTGCCATAGGAAACTTCCTATCAGAAATCCTCTTATCCAGTATGATGAAAGGTTAAATTTTTTTAAAGTTGGAAATTCTCAGTGTGAAGCAGAGGTTCATTCAAAAACAGAAAAAGACATATATCTTACACATATCATTTTTGTTTAAAACACAAAGGTTCATTCCATTTGTCAATCTCTTTATAGAGGACCAAAGTCTTTTCTTTGAATGTGGGCCCACAGATAAATACTCCATATCATCTTTCTTGCATAAACTGTAATACACTCAATTTCCCATGATTTCAAGTGTCATTTTATCTTAAATAGAATAAGAACATAAAGACATCAACAAAGCATTCCAAATACAGAATGCTTCTAGGTTTTCATTATTTTTCTCAATCTTTTATAGTGGGCTTGCCCATATTTAATTCTACAGAATTTTTCATAAAACAACTCTGTTTTTCCAAGTTTGTTTCAGATAATTCTCTTAGTTTTCAAACAGACAATTCTTTTTAAACTTACTACTCATCAGTTTACTTGAGACAATGAATTATGTAACAATGATTAAAACAGCAAGCATAATGAGGATACTGGTGGCATATAATTCGACTGAAAGGAACAGAGGTGGATGGCACACCAAAAGGTATTCTATTAGCTTTGGGTGTTTAAGTCGCTATTGGCATTAAGTAATATGTTTTATGGTAAAAATGGAAAGCACTGGTCAATCTGAGACCATCAAGTTGGAGATGAGTTAAGAAAGGTCTTGATTTCCACTGCCTACTTCTACTACCAGAAGCCATATTTCCCCAGTTCTACTCTTTTAGTAAATGGCAATATCCAACTGCTCAGCTAAAAACCCTTAACTCCTCTCTCTGTCTTACCAATAATTAAGGCACCAATATTGTCTTTCTAGAAAACCTCAAAATATTTTCCGGATATATTCACTTATCTTCATCTCCACCCCTATCACCTACAGTCCAAGGTGCCATAATCTCCTAACTGTAATGACTTCCTAATTAGTCTACCAACTTCTATTCTTACCTCTCCCTTGGACTGATTCTTCACATAGTAGCCCATAGAGAAGTTTGCAAAATGTGACTGAGACAGCACTGCTGCCCTACTTTAAATTCTTTGGTGACTAGCCATTATTCTTGAATAAAATTAAAACTCCTTGCCATGATCTACCAGGAGCTAGCCCATACCTACTTCCGCAGCTTCATCTCATGCCATTCTCCCCTTGCTCACTGCTTTGGGCACAGACTCTCCCTCTGCTGTCCTTTAATACGCCAAACCCCTACAGGGCCCCTGCACATGTAGCTCATTCTGCCTGGAACACTCTTCACTGACTCTTCATAGAAGTCACTCAATTTTCCGATGTCACCTCAAATGTGGTCTCCTCACAGGGGTCTCTGTTGATCATTCCATTTAATAAAGTCTTCCTTCAGACTCTCACATCCAAGTTACTCTATATCACATCATTTTGTTCTTTTTTTCCTTCATAACAGCTACCAGCTATCTTAATTATATGCTAATAGATCTCCTTCTGTTAAATGTAAGATCTCATTAGAGCATGAGCTTCCTCCATCTTGTTCACCATTATTTTCTTACTACCCAGTTCAGTACCATTTCCTGAATGGAAAAATGAACTACTTGAATAATTCCAGCTGAAGATCTTCTCTATGAGATGCAGTGAAATTTCTATACATAAAAATCCTAACCTGATGTCCACAGAAAGACCAGTATGAGAATTTCATAGCAGGTTTATTTATAATAGTAGAAAACTGGAAACAAACCAAATGTCCATCAACATGAAAACAGGTAAACAAATTAATGTGTATTCATATTAGGAAATATGACTTAGTAATAAAAGAGAATAAACCAGTGATACAACGTATAATAAAACCTTTTTGTGAAAGAAGCCAAACAGAAAAGAGTACATTCTGTATAATTCTATTTATATGACGTTCAGAGCAGAAAAAGTATTTATTGTAATAAAAATCAGAACATTGTTTCCCATGTTGCCCATGCTGGTCTCAACTCCTGGGTTCTAGTAATCCACCTGCCTTGGCCTTTCAAAGTACTGGGATTACAGGCCTGAGCCACTGCACCTGGCCTATCATGAATTTTTAAAAAGGCAAAAAAGTCCTAAATTCATTCACCCACACATCATATCTGATGCAGAAACCCAAGAAATAGCCTATCCACCATCATATCAAGATCTACTTATTCATCTGTTCATTTACCTTCTAAAATCTTACTCTTCGCTGGCAGAAAATTAAAAAGGTTTGTACCAAACTGACTGTCTCATGGCAACACACTAAGAAAATATCCATCACTACAAAAGATGATTTATGATGCATTTATATATGGGCAAATGGCTATTTACATTTACACACATGCGTGCACGCGCGGTGTGTGTGTGTGTGTGTGTGTGTGTGTGTGTGTGTGTATGGCTGCCTATAAGTTGGAGATTAACTGGGAAGAAGCATAGAAGAACTGGAAATATTATATATCTCAATAGGTGTATGGTTTACATGAGTATATATGTCAATAAAAACTGATTAAATCTTTTACTCTGCAAATTTTATTACAATTTTTTTTTTGAGATGTAATCTCACTCCATCACCCAAGCTAGAGCACAATGGCATGATCATGGCTCACTGCAGCCTTGACTTCCCAGACTCAGGTGATTCTCCCATCTCAGTCTCCCAAGTAGCTGGGACAACAGGTGTGTACCATCACATCCAGCTAATTTTTTGTATTTTTTTTTGTAGAGATAGGGTTTCCCATGTTGCCCTTGCTGGTCTCAATTACTGTGCTCCAGTAATCCACCCACCTCAGCCTCCCAAAGTACTGGGATTACTGGCATAAGCCACCGCACTCAGCCTATCATAAATTTAAAAAGGCAAAAAAGTCCTGAATTCATTCACCCACACATCACATCCAAGGCAGATACCCAAGAAATAGACTATCCACCATCATATCAAGATCTACTTATTAATTTGTTCATTTGCCTTCTAAATTGTTGCTCTTTGCTGGCAGAAAATTAAAAAGCTTTGTGCCAAATTGATTGTCTCATGGCAACACACTAAGAAAATATCACTGCAAAAGATGATTATGCATTTATATATAGGCAAACCATGTAAAAGTATGATAAAAAGGACAAAACAGTATGTATCCATTACAGAAGAACTAAACAATAAAGCATACTGATAGATGCTAAGGTACATCAAATGATTATGTGACCTGGAACACCCACCATGAGCTGCATGGAAGGAACCCCTAAGCCGCAGGCTAAGCAAGAATGCTGTAGTTTTCAACTTATTTCTATCCCTAAAAACATCTGAATCAAACATGTATATTTTCTTATACTTACACTCTACTCCCTAAACAGTCATGTTAAGAATCACTATCTGGACTGTAAGAACCAAAGAGTAGCCACAAGCCACAGGTAGCTATTCAGAAATTAAAAAGAAGCAAGGACAAATGGAAAGCTGAATTTTTTTTAATTTCATAAAATTTTAATTTATACTATATTAACTATTAGAAAGATTTAAGTATACCTATAATAACTTTGTATGTAAATTTACTATTTCAACAGTTAATTTTTATAAAATATAAATATAGATCAAATATTTCTAATAAAAATTTAGTGTTAGCCAGGCATGGTGGCTCATGTCTGTAATCCTAGCATTTTGGGAGGCCAAGGTAGGCGGATCCCTTCAAGACCAGCCTGGCCAACAGGGCGAAACCCCATCTCTTATAAAAATACAAAGAAAGTAGCTGGGTGTGGTGGCACATGCCTATAATTCCAGCTACTGGGGAGGCTGAGGCAGGAGAATCGCTTGAACCCAGGAGGCAGAGGTTGCAGTCAGCCAAAATCACACCCTGCACTCAATGGGTGACAAAGCAAGACCCCCCTCAAAAAAAAAAAAAAAAATTAATATTATAATTGAGATGTGGAAAATTCAAACTAGTTCTGAAGACTCAATACTAAAAAAAGATAATGTAAAATATAAGATAGCTCACTATAATTATTGCCCTAATTACATTTCAAAGTTATATTTTAGATCCACTGGTTTAAATAAATTATTAAAATTAACTTCCCTTGTTTCTTTCTACTTTCTTTTTCTCTTTTATAAGCCTAATATTTATAAACATGTATTTTTTGAATGTAGCTACTGAAAAACTTTAAAGTACATATGTGGCACACATTCTATTTCTACTGAATAGTACTGCCCTAAAGCTTGTACCTAAATGCAGAAGATATTTCATTATGATACATTAATTTGAATACTTCAAACACCTCCTGACCTTTTCACTTGATTGTCTTCTTTTCTTTAGTTGAATAAAATCTGTTTCCACCCTTTCTGCCAGCTCTAGTTTCCTCTTGTTTCTTTTAAATGCAGCTAAACTGAATCCTATAAAATAAAATAAAATAAAAAACATTAAATATAACACTTAAGAAATATTAGGGCAAAGGGTCAAATAAGATATCTGAAGAGCCTTCCCAGAAGAAAATCATTAAGAATGTTAAATTAAGGGTTTAAAAAGTCTTTACAATGTATACAGAGATAGTAGGAGAATAAGAGAAATAAACTAAGATTTTAAAATTAAGAAAAAGGTCAAACCCTGAGAAAAAAAGGAGTTCTGTAGGCAGACACTACCTCAGGGCATCTAATGATGCATGCTTCCTCCAACTGTGGTTTTAAAGATCTCTGCATGTAGAAGACAAGAGATGAAACTTGGGCACAATGCAGTGTGAGAAAACACACTGGAAATTATCCGCAAAGAAAGGAGAGAGTCACAAAGGTTAATATGCCCAGTGGAGGGACAGGAGAATGAGAAAAAAGCCACCAGGCACCAAAAAATAATAAAAAATAAAGAAAACATTTTTCAAACCAGAAAACTTGCAAATCTCAGCTTTGGTTCTAGATGTAAAGAGGAAACATCTCCCTAGAAATTTCATATAACCAATGAGGGCATTTAGATAGGCTTCCAGTAGAATTCTTATTACCTGTGAGACCTGGAGACAAAAAAATGATCTCAGCGTAACAGTGCTTCCAAGGGCCTCCAAACACAAATGCAAATACTCTCTAGAAAAATAAACCGGCCTTAACTTACCCAGACCTTAAGGAACTCCCATGTTACCATCAACATGTACTCATAGTTTTAAAAGAAAAATTCATAAAACACAAAAGAAATGAACTACCAAGAATAAAAGCCAGCCAAATATCAGAAAGCATAATCTGACCTGCAAAACCCTCAGGTACTAGAATAATCAAATACAGAATATAACACATTTATGCTCAGAGAAATAAAGTTAGGATCAAAAATAGGATTAAGCAGCAAGATGATAAACTGACCAGGCTGAACTGAAGAACAAATAGAGCTTCAATCAATCAATAAGATAATCAAAATTTTTAAACTTGATATACAAATTTTAACAGCCAATTAGATCTAGCCAATAAGACAAATTACAAACTGGAATATAACACTTAAGAAGTTACTAAAGTTTTCTGATAATGGCAGACTAAATGATTCAGAATAATTATCCACAGAATATTCCTAAAAATGTTGGGTAAAATGTTTAAAATACCCATCTTAAAAGCATTCAAAACCTTACAACTACTAAGTTAAATTATTAGATAAACTGAGGACTAAAGGTGTTATTGCACTGCTAACATTTGCCAACACTAGCACACATGCATTTGATTAAATGGCATCAAGGAGAGGCATACATCAAGCCCAGAGCACATTAAGAGTAGAGAGTTTTATAGGAGACACTTCCCACAATAAACTGGGAATTTAAAGGGCTAATACTCTTAGAGTAAAGCTAATCTATAACTAAGTCCATTATTCCCTCTATCTCAAAAGCAAATACATGCAGGCAGTATTGTTCCAGATTACAGCAGAGCATGAGACCAACAGAAGTTTGGCAGAGAAAATAGGGAGAAGGTAGAGAAAAAGAAAGAACAAAGTATTTGAAAGAGGCAAGGAAGGAAAATTATCTCTGAAAACCTTTTGGTCTCACGCGGCCCTTGCATAGATTTACAAATATACACACTGTACAGTCCCAGAAGGAAAAGAAAGAGAGAAGGAGAAGATGGTTAACTTGAAGAAATAATAGATGAAAACTTTCCAAATTTGATGAAAGATATGAATATAAACATCCAAGAAACTCTAAGTATGAAAACTGAGAGATCTATCCCAAGGCACATTGTCAAAGGCCAAAGACAAAGAGAGAATCTTGAAAAGCAGATCATCGCCTACTAGGGATCCCCAATAAAATTATAAGCAGATTTCTCATCAGAAACTTTGGAAGCTGGACACAATGAGTTAATAAATTCAAAGTGCTGAAACAATAAAAGCATCAACCAAGAATCTTTTCTGTGGCCAAACAGTCCTTCAAAAATGAGGGGCAAATTAAAATACTCTCAGATAAACAAAAACTGAGACAGTTCATTTTTACTGGACCTACCCTGCAAGAAATGCTAAAGGAAATCCTTCGGGTTAAAATGAAAGAATCCTAGACAGAACTCAAAGCTGTAAATAATGATCGCTGATAAATACATGGACTACTGTAAAAGCTAGTCTTACTGTAATTTTGGTTTCTAACTATGCTTTTTGTTTTCTACATGATTTTATTTTATTTATTTATTTTATTTTATTTATTTTTCAGACAGAGTCTTGCTCTGTCACCCAGGCTGAGTGCAGTGGCACAATCTCGACTCTCTGCCACCTCTGCCTCCCAGGTTCAAGCGATTCTCTTACCTTAGCCTCCCACTAGCTGAGACTACAGGTACGCACCACCACGCTTGGCTAATTTTTTTTATTTTTAGTAGAGATGGGGTTTCACCATGTTGGCCAGGCTGGTCTCAAACTCCTGACCTCAGGTGATTCGTTTCTGCCTCCCAAAGTGCTGGGATTACAGAAATGAGCCATCACACCTCGCTTATTTTCTACATGATTTTAGAAACTAAAGCATTAAAATCCTATCAGCTTGTTTTGGGACAGACAATGGGAAAAGATACAATTTTATAAAAGAGGGTTGAGATAGATCTGTATAAGAACTGAATTTTTATTTGTTATTGAAGTTAAGCTGGTCTAAATTTAAATTAAAGTGTTATAATTTTAGAATGTTAAACAATTCTAAAATCCCCATCATAACCACAAAAAAAAAGCAAGACAATATACACAAAAGAAAATGAAAAGAGAACACCACAATAAACCAAGTAGATCTAAAAGACATAAACAGAAAATTCTATTCAATAACAGAATCAACATTCTTCTCAAGTTCATTTGGAACATTTTCCAAAATGTCCCATTTGTGTGTGAGCACAAATCAAATCTCAATAAACTGTAAGAGATAGGTATTGTATCATGTATCTTCTCCAGCTAAAACAGATGAAGTTAGAAATTAATAGAAGGAGACTGGAAAATGCACAAATTGTGTAAATTAAAATACAGAAAGAAATCACAAGGGAAATTAGAAAATGCTTAGATGTGAATAAAAATTAAAATGCCAAAACCTACAAAGTACATCAAAAGGCTTATAAAGGAAAAATGTTACGGCTATATGCACATTAAAAAAGAAGAAAGATTTCAGCCGGGCATGGTGGCTCATGTCTGTAATCCCAGCACTTTGCGGGGCCAAGGCAGGTGGATCTCCTGAGGTCAGGCGATAGAGACCAGCCTGATCAACATGAAGAAACCCCATCTTTACTAAAAATACAAAATTAGCTGGGTGTGGTGGCACATGCCTGTAATCCCAGCTACTCAAGATGCTAAGGCAGGAGAATCGCTTGAACTCAGGAAGCACAGGTTGCAGTGAGCCAAGATTACGCCATTGGACTCCAGCCTGGGCAACAAGAGCGAAACGGCGTCTCAAAAAAAATCAAAACAAAATTTAAAAAAAGAAGAAAGATTTCAAACAACAACCTAGCTTTAAAACTTAAGGAACTAGAAAAAGAAGAATTAAACTCAAAGCTATCAGAACAAAGGAAATAAAGAGTAGAGATAAATAAAATAGATAATACAAAAAAAAATGGAGAAAAATAAAATCAAAAGCTAGTTCATGAAAAAGATTAACAAAATTTAAGATCTTTAGCTAGATTAAGAAAAAAAGAAGGCCAGGAGCAGTGGCTCACGCCTGGAATCCCAGCACTTTGGAAGGCCCAGGCAGGTGGTTCACGAGGTCAGGAGTTCGAGACCAGACTGACCAACATGGTGAAACCCTGTCTCCACTAAAAATACAAAAATTAGCTGGGCGTGATGGCACACGCCTGTAATCCCAGCTACTCAGGAGGCTGAGGCAGGAGAATAGCTTGAACACGGGAGGCGTTGCAGTGAGCCAAGATCGTGCCACTGCACTCCAGCCTGGGTAACAAGAACGAAACTCCGTCTCAAAAAAAAATAAAAATTAAAATTAAAATTAAAAAAAAAAAAAAGAAAAAATAAGACTATTACTATAATCAGAAATCAAAGTGAGCACATTATTATTGATTCTTCAAATATAAAAAGTATTTTAGGCCAGGCACAGTGGCTCACGCCTGTAATCTCAGCATTTTGGGAGGCCAATGTGGGTGAATCACTTGCGTACAGGAGTTTAAGACCAACCTGAGCAACATGGTGAAACCCTGTCTCTACAAAAAAATACAAAAAATTAGCCATGCATGGTGGCATGAACCTGTAGTCCCAGCTACTCCAGCAGCTGAGGTGGGAGGATCATCTTAGTTTGAGAAGTCAAGATTGCAGTGAGCCATGTTTGTGCCACTGCACTCCAGCCTGGGAAACAGAGCAAGACCTTGTCTCTCAAAAAAAAAAATAAACTGTATCTATATATGCATGTATGTGTGTATATTTGTGTGTAAATACCTATATATGTGTATATATACATACATGTGTATACACACACACATACACACACCAAACACACATAAATAAAATAAGAGAGTTCTATGAACAATTACATACCCAAAAACTGGATGACCTAAACAAAATTAACAAAGTCCAAAAACACAAAACCTACCAAGACTGCATCATGAAGAAACAGAAAATCTGAATTAACCCATAACTAGTAAGGAGAGCAAATCAATAATCCAAACTCTCCTGGCAAAAAAAATCCTCAGACTCATGGTTTCACTGAAGCATTCTACCCAACATTTAACCAACAAATACCAAAAAAATTAACAAAGAGGAAACATTTTCAGTCATTCTATGAGGCCAGCATTATCCTAATACCCAAACCATACAAAGACACCATAAGAAAGCTACCAACAAATACCCCTTACGAACATTGATGCAAAATTCCTCAACAAAATACTGTCAAACCAAATGCAGCAGCATATTAAAAGGATAATACACGATAAGGAAGTGCAATTTATTCCTAAGAAGTAAAGGTCATTCAACATATGAAAAT